CTGAAGAAGATGTGTGTCTACAACCCATCCAAGTTTGAGTGGAAGGAGCTGGCTCCCATGAAAACTGCCCGGTCCCTGTTTGGAGCCACTGTGCACAAGGACAAAATCTATGTGGCTGCCGGTGTGACCGACTCTGGCTTGACCAACTCGGTGGAAGTGTATGACATTGCCTCCAACAAGTACGTACCTGAGCACCTCTTTGGGGCATAGTTGGACAAGAAACAGCTGTAGGTGTACCTTAGGTGACCTCTAACCATTCTGTTTGCTTGCAACTCCTGATACCAGTTCCTCCCAGTCTGTGTTCCTCAGACACCTGGGCATCATGTAGGTGTACCTTAGGGGACCTCTAACCATTCTGGAGTTTGCTTGCAACTCCTGATACCACTTCCTCCCAGTCTGTGTTCCTCAGACACCTGGGCATCACTGCAGTTGGGCTGTCGATCATCTCAGGCTCAGCTTCAAAGCAGTTTCACCAACTGGTCCTGCTCTTTGGTTCCCTGTAGGGCTGTAGCTTCATCTTGGCAGCTTCACCCAACACAATAGACTCTCTGACTTTGGGTGGCCCTTGCAGCTGTAGTCCCACTGCTGGGACCTGTTGGTCCGTGCCAGGTGTGCTTCACAGATCATTTACTCAATGCAAAATGGAGGTTCATTGTGATGATGGAAGCAGGTATCTCCGAAAACAGATCCCATCCCATGTAGACCTACACAAGTTAATCTGTCACTGGATAATTCAGTTGTTGGTTCCTGATTTAAGGTCATTCTTGGCGTGGGGGTAGGCAGGGTGCCTTAACATGTCCCTTCTCTCATCATGGCAGGTGGGACACTTTCACTGAGTTCCCTCAGGAGCGCAGCTCTGCCAGCCTGGTGAGCTTGGCTGGGGTGCTCTACCTGCTTGGAGGGTTCGCCACGGTGGAGACGGAGTCAGGAGAGCTGGTGCCAACGGAGCTGAATGACGTTTGGAGGTGACGATCTTCCCTGGGGCTGTCCAAGGGAGTGTGGGTGGGATTTCAGTGAGACCCACTGAGGGAAGAGAGAGCTTCTGTCTTGATGCCTTTGGCGTGAGACACATGTTGCTCCCCCAGCACAACAGGGGGAACTCAGGCTCAGCACAGGGTCTCTGGGTGAGGTTTGCCCTGTGCTGTGCTGGAGGGCACATTAGGGGATTCAGTGATCTCTCCCAACCTCATATAGCAAAGGACCTGGAATATCTGCTCCTTTAGCTTTGTTACTGCATTGACATTTTGTCTGGAGCTGGTCGTAGACCTCCCTTTTGGTGTGAAGCAGTGTTTGTGCAACGGATGCTCTCCCTGGGAAAAGCCAGTGCTTGGGCTGGAAATCAGGTTGTCTCTGTGTGTGGGCAGAAAGTGCTTTCTGATGGCTGCTAATATAGCTTCAACCGCTCCTGTCCTTCACGTCTGTGGCTCTAGAGCACCCTCAGCAGGCACCTGCTGGCCTTCACCATGGATGTTCAGTCTTGGTGCCATCAACCCACTTCCCAGTGGAAAAACAGACCCTCCCCTGTGAGACCACACGCTGGTATCCATGTTCCCCAGCCCAGTGCTGCAAACCAGAGCACACCAGGGCTGAAAGTGCCCACGCAGCTCCCCAACGCTCCCACAGAGACCTTGTGGCCAAATGATGTCCGTGGGACAACACACCATGCACCGGGGCTTCCACCACTATGGGGGGCAGCTGAAGTGAGGGAGAGGAGACACTTTCCTCACCACGACTGTCCGTCTGTCTCTCCTCAGATATGATGAAGAGCAGAAGAAGTGGGAAGGGGTCCTCCGGGAGATCCAGTACGCCTCCGGTGCCACTTTCCTTCCTGTGCGCCTCAACGTTTTGCGCCTGACGAAGATGTAACAAGGCGTGATTTTTTACTTTTCTTTTTTTTTTTTTTTCCATGGGGGTCTGGGGCAAAGGGGGATGGGAAGAGGTGAGGTCACGCTTGTCAGCACAGATGTGGCAGCTGGATACTGTGTAGGACATTGCATCTGTGATTGGTACCTTTTTATTTAATCTAATGGGAAAGGGGGGAAAGTATCTTGAAGCCCTGTGGAAACTTGAAGATGCTCACAAGACAGAGAAGGGATCTGGAGCCTGCAAGGGTCTCGGGTAGACTGAGACGCATGGAGCAATGAGTTGTTCCAGTCTCAGTAGACAGGACAAGAAGCTCATAATCTCGTTCTGCTTCTTTCTCCATGTTTTGTTCCATCTTCTCAACTGCTGTTGAACCACCCCAAGCAAGAGGGGAGGCAGAAAGTGGGTCCCAAGGGGCTAAGCTGATGTTCCCCAGGGAAGGGTGGGCCTAGAAAGTATTTCCCCATCTAATGTAGCTGTGAGCATAGTCCTAGAGCCCACCTTGGAGGGGAAAAGGAAGGATCAGTCAAGTGATACGGGAGAGACTTGGGGGGAGTGTGATGAGTTCTTGGGTGATGAGAGTTGTTGGGATGCGACAGTTAAAAAAGCATGTGACTGTGGGCAGCAGAAATGCTTTGGAAGTTGTAATGAAAAGAAAATAGCCTTAGTTCTTTGCCTTCACCTTGACTTTAGACTGAAGAGACGCCAGGAGCTAAGGTATGCAGGAGGGGAAGGGTCACGAGAGGAGTAGGGTAGAAAAGGGGGGAGAGACAGGCAGGGAGGGCCACGTGGACTCATCTCCAGCCTTTTGGGCTCCTCATCTTCAATCACAGATCACAATGTCCTCATATCCTCACCTGTGGTTGGACAAATGCTGTTTTTTCAGGGAAAAGTTTTATATTTATGCCGTTTCTCTTATTTTTAATGTTCTGACCTCTGATTTTTTTTTTTTTTAAAGAGTATTCTAGTTTCTAGTTTGCTAAATACGTGGAGATCTCAGTTGTGTTTGGCTCAAAGAGAGCTTCCTACTGAGGAAAAATACAATATTTTTTTTTAAGTTATCCATAATGATGTTTTGATAGAAACACGGTTGTACTGGCAGCAGGACAAAGATTTGCTAGAGCAAAAATCTCCTGATGCCAACACCATCTGACCAGTGGTTTATTTAAAAATAAATTAATAAGCTATTTCAAAAGAAATCCCGTGCTTGTATGTTGATAGAACTGTAGCTGAATGTCCACAGCAACCAAACCAAGCGAAAGCTGTGATGAACACAGGCAGCAAACCAGCCTCATGGAGAGCCCTTGCACAGCCCCAGCTCTTATTCTTCTTATTTCCACCCCTTTGGCAGCTGAACAGAGGTGATAATCAATAATTAAAAAAAAAAAAACAAACCTTGCAAAATAATACCCTCAAAGTGGCATGAAACTTATGGTATCATCTAGCTCAAAATGCAGTCGTGGAGAAATTAAAACATGTTTGGAAGGAAAGGCAATTTGGCAGGAGTAAAGGAGCCAGAGCCTTGTCCTGGTTTCATTTTAAGGATTTAAAAAGTTACAGGATAATCTCCTTAGAGGACAGTCGTATCAGAACAGTAATGAAACGTTTTTTCACAGGAAAAATAAATCCAAGGTGACTGGTTGGCACAAAACAGCTTAAAAAAAAAAAAAAAAAAAAAAAAAAAAAATTTGGAAAAAAAGAAATGGGGAAAAAAGGCACTCAAAAAAAAAAAAAAAAAAAAAAAAAAAAAAAGCAACATAAAACTTGTGAAACAATGAAATGTGTGAAAAATGCACTGCAAAAAAAAAAAAAATAAAAAATCACCTTCTACTCAGTTCTGCAGAAATTCCTGTGCAGGACTCCCAAGCTAATTGAAGATGAATCTACCAAATGTAGAATAGCTTGTGGCAGAAAAGAGAAAAAAACAAAACAAAACAAAGAAGAACAAGAAGAAAAAATAATCCATGCATAGAATAATAATTTTAAAAAAGTAATTTGTTGGGGTAGCAGGATACCACCTCCTGCCTGGGATGGGAAACCAACAGACACAGAATGGAAAGCTGTTGGCACTTGGTCTGAATAGAGTCAAGGGGAATGTTTCTGAGCCTCGAAGAGTTGGTACAGTGTAGTCCATTGAAAATGGCCTGAGAGGTGGCAACTAAAACTGCTCCTCATCCTTGGTTGCTCACCTCACAACCGTTCATTGGGAATACAGCTGACAGGACCTTAGTCCTCCTGTGTGGTTCACACCCATTATAAAGCTGTGGGAGATGCTGTCACTGGCACAGAGAAAGAAATCATAAAAGGAAAATTAGCTGTTGTATTAAAGAACCCAGAAGAGCTTGAAATATCCCATTACTTGAGCAACAAGGGCCAAATCTCAATGTGTACAAGCCAGTGTTGGCCCAAGGAAGGCAGCAAAGTTGCACCTTGCCAAGTGAACGTCTGGCCCAGAGATGTTCACCACCACTTTGCCAAGAGGCTTCTTCAGTCCAAAGGCAATCACAGATTAGAAATGTCAATGTGAATGCTATGAGAGGCATCACTCCTCTCTGCTGCTCAGCATTTTCCCAGCTCAGATGCACACATCTTCAGCGGCGCAGGTCCCCTGTGGGTATCTTCTCCAGGCAATGCCAGCAGCAAAGGAGCAGGTGCATCCCAAGGGTGAGAGAAAAATCATCTCTTCTTCCATTAGCTTTCCAGTATCAGTGCTAACAGTAGCTGGTGAGGTTCCCACCACTCCATTTTATATCAATAAAGGCACTATGTGCTTTTGGATGGGCTCCTTGGTTTCTCTGCTGCTTAGAGAGGAGCTCATGGAACCTCAGCTCATAGCCAACACAAATCTTATGGAGCCAGGAGGACGCAGGAGCTTAGCCCTCACCAAGCCCCTTCTTCCACCCACTCATCGTCCTTCTCTGAAAAGCCATTTTTTGTTGGCCCCACAGCAGTCCATTTGTCTCACACATATGGACGCACCTCCCACCAAACCCAACACCAAGCCTATATGTGTGAAGCAATGGCAGTGCTGATGCCCATCCTGCTGGGCTTTAACTCCTCTCAATTGCCTGAAAGAGACTTAAAAAAAAAAAAAAAAAGCGAAAGTAAGGCAACAAAGACAGTGGTGGAGCTTTAGGTTTTCTTTTATAAAAGACAAATCGTTTATTGATTCAGTCCTTCCACTTGCAACCTCTTTGGTAACAGTCATAACACTTCCAGACTGGGAGAACGCAGTGGAAAGGCCCAATTCTGACCTCTCACCACTTTCAGAGCTCAGTGACCCCTGACGTGCCTTGGTGAGAGGCCAAAAGCAGGTTTCAGAGCATGGCCAAAGACCTGGTCTCTAGGGACAACCCAAAACAGCCTGCTGTGACTCGTCTTGCTCGTGGGTTGCCCAGAGAGCAGCCCCAGCACCCCCAGGCAGAAGATGGCTCAGGATGGGGATGCACCTCAGGCCCTTGGTACCAAGGCTGACTCTGAGCTGTGCCCTGGAAGGCAGCTTTGATGCACCTCTTGGGACCTCCAGGACATTGGCCAACGAGGCCGTCAATGAAACAAGACTCACCTGCTCCTATGGCAGGCAACGACTTGTCCCAGTTGGCCCCACACTGATGCACTATCCCGACCATCTCAGCCTCCCCCTCATTACACCATCCCAAAGAGAGTAACTGCTGTACTTGGAGTTAAAGATAAACATATATTGATTACACATGGTCATAAAAAAAAAAAAAAAAGTAATAATAATAATACATTTCCTAGAACATTACTTAAGATGCTTCCGGAAAGCATCCAAGCTTCCCCTCCCCTCCCCACCTTCCCTTATCTATACAGAATAAAGTGCTTCATTTAGTTTGTTCACACTAGTAGAGCCACCGATACACTCTTAACTTGGCAAGTTTGGGCAACCGATACTGAATGCCGTAACATAATACGGAGCCGAACACCAGGCATGAGAAACTAGTTTTGAGGCAAGTGCTTGGAGCTTCACTCATTTCCTTCAAGTTCCATGCTACTGAGGTTGTTCTTACTCCTTTTTTTTTTTTTTTTTCTATTATTATTATTATTTTCTTCCTTCACGAGTTCGACCCAACTCCCGTCGTGGTTGCATGTCACCGGGCAGGGCTGCGTGTGGGGAAGCTCTCTCCCTCCGTGTGAACAAAAGGGTGTCTTGTCCATCAGTCCTTCCCTCTCGACTTCAGGCAAACCAAGAGTTTCATCAACGGAGTTGTCTAGCAGCGGATGCTCGTCTCTATTGCACTGTCACAGCCGTTCCCACCCGCCGGCCGTCCATCCATCCATCCATCCATCATCACCTTCCCACCGCGTTGGGGTTATGGCTGTGGTCCGAAGGGCCAGCCGTGCCTCATAGACATTATGAGGCTAACTGGTGTGTGCTACCAGGCTCCTGGGATATAGAAACCAAAAACGACCCTCCCCACCTGGATCCCTCCCTCCCCAGAGTTCCATTGAAGGGGAAAAAAAAACAAACAAAAAAATAAAATCAAACCCGGAGAGGTCTGGGGTGAGGCGTGTGGGCATTGTCAGCTGAACGTTGCGTCGCGGCGTATTGATGGACTGCATAATGGAAATCAAGCCCCTCTCCACCCTCGCGGTCTGTCGAAGAAGGGATGAGAGAGATTAAGGTGCAAGAGTTAAACAAAACAAAACAAAACCAACCGAACAAAAAAAAAAATTAAAATAAAATATAAAAAGCTTGAAAACAACGGACCCAACTCCCCAGCCTCCCGCCCGTCTAACCCAACAGGTGCCAACAGGGCTGACCGGGATGGATGTGGGACGAGACACTGCAGGAGTGACTCGTTTGAGCTTTTAGTACATTAACGAAAACCAGACATGAAAAGACACACTGGGGCCGAGTAAGGGTGTAGACAAAAGGGCTCGGAGGCCATGTAGGACTCCTGGGAAGTGCCCAGGCCTTGGAGAGGGGAGGGAGCAGCAGGGATCTGGTTCTCCAAAGTGCTGTGTGCATGGTCACATCTCAACGTCTCCAAGTGGCTCTCTGGGCAGGCTCTCGAAGGGGATCGGACGCAGCTGGGATCAGTCGCTGGGCTTTCTGCCGGGCTTCTAGCCTCAACAAGGAGCTCTCATCTCACAGTGACGTCCAAGCGGGACAGGTCCTCACCAGAAGAGAACAAACTGGGACTGGGACAGGGAAAACCACCTCCAGGCAGAAGGGAGCACATGTCGCTGTTGGGGTTTGCTTGGGGGGAGAAGTCTAACAGCCAGGCAGGCTGATAGACTCCATCACAGAAGATCCTACAGGCAAGGTGAGTCCTCCTCAGGGTGCAGTACTCCCATCCCATGTCAAGGCTGTGTGAGGTGAACGAAATGTAAGGGAGCCCGAGGGGTGGGTCTGGGAGGCAGCAGAGGAGGAGACAGCATGGACTACTCTACTAAGGCCCTCTAATACCTCAAAGGGTGTCACTGAAAGCTTCTCTAAAGCAATCGTCTTCCAGTCTGGGTCATGGTCCCTTCAGAAAGCCAATGGGCCCTAGAGCTGAGTGCCCACAACCCTCACAGGTGTGTATTTGAGAAGACTTTGTGCCATCCCAATAAGCCCCCGGGTCATGGAGGAAGGAGAGCAGAAAAGCCTTTGGTACCCTCTGAGAAGGTCAATATGGCGAGACAGCTCTGCCATAGCATCCTCCCTTTGCTCAAACCAGATGGAGATGAGAGTGAGATCACTGGTACTGACTGTGGTGCTGGGGGTCCACAGGATCCCAGCCAACACGGGGATGAAAAGCAATTTGTTGCACCATCATGCTAACATCCACAAGAGACGTCAGGCATGGGGAGGCACCACTCAGCAGGAGGGGACACCAGTCGCCGAACCCGTCACCTCAAGCAGCACTCAGGAGAACAGCAGGTGCTCTCCTGTCCTGTCCCTATCAGGATAACACCCCCGGCATGTCCATGGGCAGCAAACCCCCTGAGCATGTGGCTAAATTCTCCTGGCTCCGCAGGGACAGCCTAAACACTGCCCAAGTGCTTGGCTGATTTGGTCCAGGAGATGAAGCACCAAGACTTCTTGCAGAGCCAGACGTGGCTCTGACTCCAGCACCCCACTCAATGTCCTCTCTCACTCCCAACACCCTGCTCACCACCTTTATGACCTGACCCACGTCTCCACGCATCCACAGCACTGGCCTTGGGAGCAAGGCACCAGCTGCAAGGCACCCCATCTCTTGGCTGGCATCTCTCTGCCCATGCTGGATGCTCTGCAGCCCCTGAAGCACTCCCATTTCTCCCTGACCCCAAAGGGGACACCTCGCTGGCCAAGGAGACCACACAGTCATGGGCAGACCAATGCACCGACACCCCGGCTCAGAGCACAGCAGCGAGAGACCCAGCTTGGACCCCAGTGTCCACCAAGAAAGTAACAGCCAAGCCTTCCTCTTCTCCTTCCTTGGCATGAAGCCAGCTTGAGTAACTGAAGCCAAAGACCAGCTCAACTTCAACAAGCACAACACGGTCAGAGAAGCACCAACAAACACTATGGGGCATCACCAAACCAACCACAGCCCTCACTGGTCCCCCCCCAGGCCAGGGCACAGCCAACCCCATGAGGAAAGGTTGGGAGAGCAACGTGGGCAACGAGCTGGAGGATGGGACATTGTCATCAGGCTGAACATGGGTCTTGCTTTAGCTCTAGACCTTGCAACGGGACCCAACCTGGAGCTCACCCATCAGTCAAGGGTTTATTCGAATTGTTAAGGCACTATTCTGGGCTGATTCTGCCAAGAAACAGCGGTGTCCCGCTCCTCCACCTGGAGTTGCCACAGAGTCACCTTCCCACCGGTCCCAAGGCCACCTCAGCTCTCCCAGGGACACCTCACCATCTCCAGAGCATCCACAGGAGCCCAGTTCCTGCTGGGATTAGCAGAAAGGGCACAACAGAGCCCGGCTCCCTTAGCCCACCCCAAAAATGAACCGGCACTGGGGCTGCTGATGCCCCCGAGACGCGACGCCGCCGGCGTTTGTGCTTTCACCTATGGAGGAGGAAAACCTGTCAGGGGGAAGGAAGACACGGCGAGGGCTGCTAACGAGAGCGGGCTGATGGGCTTTCCAACGGGGACATCTGCTCGCTCGCCGCGGGCCACCAGGGCCGGCAGACGGGACCAGCGGGGGCTCCTCCGTGGTGCCCACCTCTCAACCTCTTGGGGAAAAAACCAAAAAAGAGAGCCTGAATGGAAAGACCAGCTTTACAGTACAGGGATTCAAGCACCACTGGCTAGATTTCGGCCGATTATAAATATTGAAGGGCCAGCAGGCGTCCATCCGGGCACGCGACGCCGGCGAGCTCAACCCCAGACGGGGTGGCATCCTGGTCCTCCAAGCCCTGCCAGGATCCTGGCATGAAGATGAAGGTGATGGGCGGGAAGATGGAACCAGAGAGCAACACCTTTTACCTAAACCCTTCCGGACGGACAGCAGTTTCCCCCTCCCCAAGGCCAACATCCACGCTCCTCGGGGAGGGGGCTCCCTCCTGCTCCCTCTCTCCGCCAAGAATGAGGGGTGGGGGAAAAGGAAAAAAAGCACCCAAAACAACCCCAAAAACGAGGAGGAAGGTGGGGGGAGGGGGGTAGAGAGCAAGCGAAGCCTTGGCTCCTCGGGGGGGAGGCGATCCCGAAGGGCAGAGCGGTCCGTGCAGGCGCGTGGCCGGGGTTGGGGGGCACCTAATTGTTGTTCGAATTTATCCTCCCTGCAGGAAACAGGGGAGGGGGCGGCGGTAGGTGAGGAGGAGGAGGGAGGGTCTGTGGAAGGGGATGAAGCAACGGCAGAGGGGAGATGCCGGGGCCGGGGGGCAGCGGGGCCGGGCTGGCGGTGGGTTGTGGGGCGGCCGTGTCCGAAGCCAAGGGGTTGCTGACGCGGAAACATTTCTCCTTGTGGGCTTTGAGCATGTTGGAGAAGCGGAAGCGTTGGCCGCAGACGTCGCAGGGGTAGGGCTTCTCGCCCGTGTGGGTCCGGCGATGCCGCTTCATGTTGGGGCGGCTGGTGAAGCTCTTCCCACAGATCTCACAGATGTAGGGCTTCTCGCCTAAGGATGGAGGAAGAGGGATGAGAAGCTGGGCCATCCCACCCCAAAAAAGCCCCATCCCACCCATCCAGCCGAAGATGCCACCTCCGTCCCATTGCCCTGAGGAAAGGGACTTGGGGGTGCTGGTGGATGAGAAGCTGGACATGAGCAGGCAGTGGGCAGCTGCAGCCCAGAAGGCCAACTGCATCCTGAGCTGCATCAAAAGATGCATTTTCAGCAGGTCCAGAGAGGTGATTCTGCTGCTTTGCGCTGGTGAGACCTCACCTGGAGTACTGTGTGCAGGTCTGGAGCCCTCAATATAAGAAGGACATGGACTTGATGGAGAGGGTCCAGAGGAGGGCCACGAGGATGATCAGGGGGATGGAGCACCTCTGCTACGAGGACAGGCTGAGGGAGCTGGGGTTGTTCAGCCTGGAGAAGAGGAGGGTCCAGGGAGACAAAATAGCAGCCTTCCAGTACCTGAAGGGAGCCTACAGGAAGGCTGGGGAGAGCCTGTTTAGAAAGGCCTGCAGTGACAGGACGAGGGGCAATGGCTTCAAGCTGGAGGGGAGCAGATTGAGATTGGAGATGAGGAGAGGGTTCTTCACTGTGATGGTGGTGGAGCACTGGAACAGGTTGCCCAGGGAGGTGGTTGAGGCTCCATCCCTGGAGATACTCAATGTGAGGCTCGATGAGGTCCTGGGCAACCTGGTCTAGTTGGGGGTGTCCCTGCTGACTGCGGGGAGGTGGGACTAGATGGCCTTTGGAGGTCCCTTCTGGCCTGGACAACTATATGACTCTATGACTCTTCCCCTTGCAGGGGGCTGGGGACGAGGTGGGGAGCTCTCACCCGTGTGCGTCTTCATGTGCTCGTCGAAGTACTGCTTCATGTTGAAGTCCTTGCCACACCACTGGCACATGAACTGCTTGTGGCCGATGTGGATGCTCATGTGGGAGCGCAGCTGGTACTTGTACTGGAAGCGCTCGTTGCAGTTCTGCGGGGGGCGAGAGGGGGATGAGCTGTTGATGAGCATCCAAAACACCCCCTAATATCCCCCTCCTCCTCCCCAAATCATCACCAGCGCAGAAATCACACTTTTCCCCCACAAAAAAGAACCTGAATAAATGGCATTTCAAGATGTCCTCAGCCAGGTTGGCAGGAGGGGTGGGCTCAGGGTGGGATGCAAGGTCCAGGCACCAGACAGAGAGATCCCAACACTGGCCACCAGTTTTATAGGGTTGGTGGGACCCTCAAACGAGGAGAGGATGCAAAGTTTGGGAGAAGGGGGAGCATCCCTACAGCTACGCTGGCAAAAAGCACAGGGGAAGCTCCAAGACGTGGAAGATCTTTCCCCAAAATCAGTGGTTTTCTTCCCCTTTGGGAGAACGTGGGGTGAGGGGACACACGGGACCTTACCTCGCATTTAAAAGGCTTTTCCCCAGAGTGCTGGAGTGAATGGACCTTGAGGGACATGCTGCGCTTGAAGGACTTCCCGCAGGTCTCGCAGGTGAATGGCATGTCCTTGGTGTGAGCTGAAGGGGTGAGAAGCAGGGTCAGGCTCCCCACACGCCGAGCATCCATCTCCCCAAGTCCCCACTTCCAAGTTGCTGCTTCCAACACTGGTGCCCAACCCCAGACCTCGCATTTAAAAGGCTTTTCCCCAGAGTGCTGGAGTGAATGGACCTTGAGGGACATGCTGCGCTTGAAGGACTTCCCGCAGGTCTCGCAGGTGAATGGCATGTCCTTGGTGTGAGCTGAAGGGGTGAGAAGCAGGGTCAGGCTCCCCACACGCCGAGCATCCATCTCCCCAAGTCCCCACTTCCAAGTTGCTGCTTCCAACACTGGTGCCCAACCCCAGAAAACCCAAGGCAACCTTGGGAAGATGTGTGGCAGCAACGTACCAGGTACCCCTCTAACTGCCTGTTAAAACTCCCTTTTTTTGGATCTGCTTGGTGCCTACAAGCCCCAGGGACTCAACTGTTGTTGTCTACAAGCCCCAGGGACTCAACTGTCCTTGCCATCTGCAATTTGCTTTTCAAAGCCCAGCGCTGGTGCGGTCTGGTCCTCTTTTACAAGGGAAGGATGTTTACACTTTAAACCCTCCTTTGATCACTTCTGAGGTCTTTTTTTTTCTGGTTAAATAAAATAAACGAGCTTCCCCAGCACCACGCCTGATTGCTCCGAACCCAGCACTGGGCACACATGCATTCAGCATTAAATACTGGGCCAAATTTCACGTCTCCTGCATTGATGTTGGAAAGCTCACTCGAGGCCAAGCCCAGCCTCAAAACTCCCAACACAACAGCGACAAAAAAACACCCTTCATGGCCAGAGCGATGGATGAACACCCCTAACAAACCCCCCACCCCGTGGCACCGGTGCCTCCCACACTCACCAACCATGTGTTTGCGCACGTGGGCCATGGTGTAGAACTTCTTCTCACAGATCTCACAGGAGAACTTCTTCTCGGCGTAGCCATGGACGATCTTGTTGTGCTCGTGGAGGGACCAGAGCTTCTTGAACCCCTTCCCGCACGTGACACACTGCAAGGAGAGAGGGGATGGGCAGGGAAGCAGGGGAACACACCCTGGCACCACCAGCATTGTGGTTTTGCCAGGCTATGAGCTTCATCCTTTGAAAGGGAACACCATTACAAAACCTTAAAGCTAAGGCATCAAATCTCATAATGACCAGCAGGTCTGTTACAGACCTCATCACTTCAAAACCTTCAAAACTTGAATTTCTATCCACTGGATGAGGAAAGGGCGATGCCTTTCCAGGGAAGGAGGTACATTCCATCAATGGATGTACAGGACTTGCATAAACAGCAGGTCCTGCACCAAGGCCCTATTCCCAACTGGGGATTTTATTCTTGCACACAATTAAGCCATGACAAAAAGAAAAAAAAAAAAACCTAACAACTAACCCTCTATGCATAAGAAGGCTGCAAAGAATATAAGAACGAGAAGTAGCCCAAGCCAGGGCAGTGCAACTTCAGTCTTCAGCATGTATTATGGATACCTTACCACTAAATGAGTTTTCCAAGCAGATCCAAATGGACCACAGTGGACTCAAAACCAGTCCATCACCACAAGCAGAACAATGTGACGTGCAAGGTCTCCCCCAAGAAGTTACAGTAGAGACTTGCTTTAGCTCCAACAGGCTCAACGTTTCTCATAAAGTTCCCAGGAAAAGCTCCAACTTTAGCACAAGATGAGTTCAAGGTGTGTGAGATCAGTTTGGGGCTCAGGGAAACACAGGAGAGCCTGGTCCACAACAGGAAACATTGCTGGAGCATGGGGACGGCAGGCAGCATCTGCTTGAGGACCCTGCCAGGAGCCAAGGGAGACACTCCTTCCCTTTCATGTCTCCATGACTCATCTTCCTCTTGGCCAACAGGGATAAAACCATCCCTTCTTCTCGCAGGTGAGAAAATAATTCATGCCTTGGAGGCATCTAGCACCAGCACAGCTGAGTGGTACCAGTAAGCCCAGGGGGGCATTTCCCAGCAGGGCTTGAAGCATTACAGGCAGCACAGCCTCCATCATCTCCTACCCAGAGGAACAGATGTTTCTTGATGGGCTTAAGCCAAATTTTGCACCAAAAGAGGCTGTGATAGCGTGGAAAATATACCATTACGCCATGCAGTCCCCTTATTTTGCTACATATATTAATATTTAGGTGCCTGGGGGGCAAAATTAGGGTCAGAGAGGCATTTCCAACACTTGCCTTCTTCATCTTGCCATGCTTGAATATCAACACGAGTAGTCCTCTGAATTTCACCGTTCCTGAGTAAATACCTCCATGGATCAGAATAGTTTTATTTCTGCTTTAAGAGATGTCTCAGGACAAATTCAGGACCAGAACCTGTTATCAAAGACACATCAATATGCCTTTTCTCCACTTAAAATTACAGAGGTTGCAGGGGAATTTTTATATTCAAGGTAGAGGGGAAGCAGCAGATGTAGGAAAGTCCCCCAGGTTGGGACCAAGCACCCTGAAGTGTTAAGCTCTGCAGCCCCAGTTTCTGCAAAAAAGTATCACTCAAAAATGAGGATTAATCTCCAAATGAGGGGGAAAAAATAGGAAAATAAATTCTTGCTCTTAAGAGGAAAACCATACTGAATCTGGGCAAAAAAAAGTCTGAAAAGCAACCTGATAAAGCAAAGGAAGAATCATCTTTCAGGTGGCAGAGGCAGGATCCCCATTACGGTGTCAAAAGGGCTGCGGACGTGGATGGGAAATGATCACAGGGAGCAAGATGAAGCCTAACACCTAAGAATTATGGATGAAATTGGGGGACAAAACAGGAAAAGAAAGCAGCAAACCCAAATGGGATAAGAGTGATGGCCCCTCCACCGATCCGGTTAAAAAACAAGAATTAAAAGACTGTCCATTATAGGTTTAGAGCTGAAAAAAAAAAAATCCCTTTTCCATCCAGGTATAAATCCATGGTATATTGATAAAATTATTCAATATTATCAGAGTAAGTGGAGTGAATTTGGCTATTTGTAAAATTAAAAATGCTCAACTAAGTAAGAGGTAATGATCCAGATTTTCCACAGAAGGAGGTCACTGCGGTTCATCCTTTTCATAAAAGTCCTGGAGGAGGGTGGTTGGGGGGGAAGCAATGAGGTGACAGTTCCATGTTATCCACCAGGAAAGCAGAAGAGCTTGAAGAAATATCCTGGGAAAACCCATTTTCAATTGCACAGGCCATAGGCTCCAAAACAGCCACCACCACGGAGGTATCGGAGATACACTCATCCATTCTGGGAAAAAGCATCCAAAAAAAGCAACTTCAGGGCTACGAATTTTTTAGGAAGAGGCACCAAATGGCCAGTGCAGGTTTCTTCACCCACTCGAGCTGAGAGCACTCCTGCCTCCGTACTCCCCGCACAACCTACCGCCGAGATCTTCTTCATTGCCCATTTGATTTGGGGAGCCATCAGCCAAGACCTCCAGTAGCACTTGGGTCACTGTCACCTTCATCTGGAAGAGCTGCAAGATCATTTAAAACCCGGTCGTGGTGGGAAGGACGACGGGCGAAGCTCTCCAGAAGTTTGCTGGTTTTAATTAGCAGCGGCAGCGTCACGCCAAACAGCTCGTTGGGGATTAGGAGATGGGTTGGAGGGGTCTGCAGGAACGCATGTGTTGGCTGCTCCGACAGGATGCCTACCTACTCCCCCCCAAAACTGCACTGATCTACTGGAATGGGTTTGCAAATCCAGACAAGGATCTCGTTAGCATTAGGCAACTCGAAGAGCGAGCCCGAGCCACGCACGAATGTCAAACGCATTGGGAAACTTGCTAATACGCAAGCTGAGGAGCACAAAAGGCAGACTGAAAATCCAGACAAGGATCTCGTTAGCATTAGGCAAAGGACACGCCGAGCCCGAGCCACGCACGGATGTCAAACGCATTGGGAAATTTGCTAATACACAAGCTGAGGAGCACAAAAGGCAGACTGAAACCATTTTAACTCGTGTCAGCAAATCTTTGAATTAAGCTAAATTGGTTTCAGCCTGGGTGGGAACGGCTGGAGTGTGTCTCCAATCAGGGGCTCGCAATGTTTTACCCAGATTAACTGAATAAACTCAAAGACAAATTACTGCTCAAAAACTATTCCATGTTTCCACCCGGCCGGCCAAGGGGAAGCCATAGTTCCCCCCGTGCAAACCCTCTGGTCCCATGCCACCTCCTGAGCCTGAATACGAGTCACGGGTGAAGTAAGGTTCCTTCCCATCTGCCACGTACCACCCACAACATCAAAAATATTATTTGAGCATGAGCCCTTCCCATGGTGTAGCTAGGTGGGATGTCCTCCATGGTGGGTGGGATGTCCCTCCCCCATTGGAATGTCCCAACATGGTGGGATGCTCCTCCTTTGGTGGGATGTCCACACCTTGGTGGGACGTCCACCCCCCGGTGGGATGCTCCACCCCTTGATGGGATGGTAACCCCTTGGTGGGATGTCCCCAGGGCTGGCTCACCTGGATGTTCTTCTCGCAGTCGGTCTGGTGGTGCAGCAGCAGCTCACTCTCCAGCAGGAAGCGTTTGCCGCACTTGTCGCAGATCTGCATGCGGCTGTGCGTGACATTCATGTGCTTCTCCAGGTACCAGCGATTGTTGAAGACCCGGGGGCACTTCTTGCATGGGTAGTGCTGCTTCTCCTCCAGCTTCACCTTCTGGCCCAAACCGTCCTGTTCTTTTTTCCTCTTCCTCCCTCGTTGGCCTTCTTCTTCCTCCTCCTCCTCCTCTTCCACCTTGGCCATCTCTTGGGACCTTGTTGCCATGGTAGGTTTGGTGGCTTTGGACGCCCGGCTGCCTCTACGGGGCTGTCCCTTTTCCCTTTTCACCTCTGACGCATCTTCATCATCATCATCATCCTCCTCTTCTTCCGTCGTCTCCTCCAGGTCTTCCTCCTCACTGTGCTCCTCCTCTTCCTCCTCACCGACCTCCGCATCCTCCTCCTCTTCCTCCTCCTCCTCTCCTTCCTCGTTCTCCTCCTCCCCATCCTCCTCTGTGTCATGCCCATCGCCATCAGGCCGCCCCATCACCGCTGCCTCACTGGCGGCTGCCTTCCCCTCCATGCCCTTGGAGACATTGAGGGTTTGGTTGTTGAGGTTCACCTCCACGATGATCTGCTCCCGGTTGAACGAGCCTTGGCTGTCCAGGTCCTCCTCGGACTCTTCGCCTTCCATCTTACAGACGGCACCCGGACCACCATCCTTCTCCTCCTTGTAGTACTGCTTGGCTGGACCAGGAGGGACCGTCCCACCACCTGCTCCGTCCTCCACCCGCACCGAGTAGGGGTCGTTGCCCTCCCGGGCATAGATCTTGGGATGGGGGGCGTCCACCTCCTGCTTGATCTCGCAGTAGTAAGGTGGGGGTCCGGCGCAGCCCTCAGCGGGCAGGGCCATGTCGGTGGCCAGGCTGAGCGAGCGGGTGTCGAGGAGGTCCTGGCAGGAGGAGGCGATGTTGTTCATCTGCAGCACGGCGGCCGCGTTCAACACGTCCTGCACATTGCAGGAGTTGACGAGGAGCTTGGAGGTGTAGATGAAGTTGAGGATCTGCTGGAGGCCCTGCGAGGTGAGGGCCTCCAGCGAGAGCTCCACGCGCTGCAGCTGCTTGTTTTGGGTGAAGAGGGAGTGGAAGAACTGGCTGTAGGCCGCCAGGACCCCCTTGTGCGCTGGGAAGATGCTCTTGTGCTGCACCAGCACGATGTCCACGTCGCACAGGTCCGGTTGAAAGAGGCGCTGCTCGTTCAGTCTGTCCATCAAACACGTGAAGTGGAGGGCTACATCCTCCACCAGGGAGTACTCAGCCGAAGGGTAGTCAGTCGTTTTTTCGACTATCAGCTGTGGGGAGGAAGGAAATAAAATCATTCAAGAGGGTTCTTTCCCCAGGAAAACACGCGCCTGGCCATGATACCCATCCTTGTCCATGCACCCAAATCAGAGAAGCCAACTGAGAAGCTCCACTGCTAACCCCAACTCGAAGATGTCAACTGAGAAGCTCCACTGCTAACCCCAACTCGAAGATGCCAACCAAGAAGTCCCACCACTGGACCCAACTTCGAAACACCAAGAAGCCCTACCCCTAGACCCAACTCAAAGATGCCAACCAAAAAGCACCACCACCAGACCCAGCCTCAAAACACCAACTAAGAAGCTCCACCACCAACTTGAGTCCAGGACACTCAACCGAGGAGGAGAAAGCCCAATGAAAGGACAGGTCAAGGTCCTACTAGTAGCCACTGACAGCCCTTCAGCTTGGGTAGGAGGCACTGTGGCCACCCCACCACCAAGAAGGTCCAAAGCCTGGCTCATCCATCCACAATCACAGGGAGGAGATGCCACGCTGAGGAGGAGATGCTCAAGATACATCTTCAACCTCCTGACCCTGACAGGATCCCAGGGGGGACATTTGCCCCATACAGGAAGATCATTTTAGGCACCAGCTGAGATTTCACCACCGAACTAGGAAGGAAATTAGGATTTTCAACCTTCCTACATTCACATCATAATTACTTAAAACACCACAATATCCTCTAATATTTCCCGAATTACGTTGCCAGCTCAAACTCACGTAAGCAATCAAACCACTGGCATCTTTCCCCACCGTTGAGGGATGTGACCAAGGACACGGCGCAGAACAGGGGCGGAGACGGAGGGTTCAACCTGCCGGGTTTATCCTGCACCTCCTGCTCCAAAACGAGTTTCTCAGCTCCCATTTTTTTCTGGGACAAACGGCAGCTCTTGATCAACACACGAATTCCAGCAAGACACATTTTGTTTATCTAATTTTTTTTCTTTCTTTTTTTTTTTTTGTGAGCCAAAGGCAAAAGCGCACACAGACAAAAATGTTTAAATAATAAAAAAGGGTGTTTTCTTCTCTGTTTTCTCAACAAGCAATAATAAAAAAAAAGCCTTTCCCCCCTTCCCTGCCAAAATTTTTTTCATTTACACTGAATTTCTGCTCTGCCACCAGCCCACCCGACCAACAGGGTCATCTGCTTTGCATCGTCCCACTGGCCCCGGAGAGCCAAAGGCAAAAGCGCACACAGACAAAAATGTTTAAATAATAAAAAAGGGTGTTTTCTTCTCTGTTTTCTCAACAAGCAATAATAAAAAAAAAGCCTTTCCCCCCTTCCCTGCCAAATTTTTTTTCATTTACACTGAATTTCTGCTCCGCCACCAGCCCACCCGACCAACGGGGTCGTCTGCTTTGCATCGTCCCACTGGCCCCGGAGAGCTCCAGCAAACACCCGCACCCAAGGAAAAAAAAAAATGGGAAAAAACCAGCTCTTTTCCAAACTCTTGGCTCTGCAGCCTGGAGTGGGGAAAAGAGGGAGTGAAAGAGGGGGTTTTATATATTATTGATAAATATATGTCTATATTTTAACATATTTTAATATATTTATACTCTTTTTATAGATATATCTATTAAGAAACAGGCTCTTTTTGTATATATTTGTTATAAAATGCTGCATCCCAGCTGGAACATCCATCCACCCCCCCCCATTTTTTGAAGCCTCGCGATTGCCAAGGACATTTCGACGGGAGGAACTTGGATGGCTCAGCCCCCCGCGAGCGCGGAGAAAATAAATAATGATATAATAAATATCGAATGCCGGAGAGACAGCAAGAGCAGAGCGCTTTGCTGTTTGCCAGGGAACTCTCCTGCTTTGCTTTCACTATGAAAAAATTGAATTTAGGTTTTTCCTTCCTGGGCTTCATCTCATCTCACTCCCCTTAGAGGATGCTCCAAGCCCGGCATGGCCAATGGGTTCAAAACAAGGGGAATTGGGTCCGCCGGGCAGCATTGCTTCTGCACAGCCCAGCCTGGAAAACAAAAGCTGGGTTTTTTTTCGCTCCGGATCGAGGTTTTTTGGCAAAAAAAGGGCTGACCCCTCACCCAGCACCGGGGCTTGCCAGGCGGCTCTAATCAGTCCCAGCAGCGGCGAGGACAATGCGTGTCTTGGCCGCGTCCCGTCGGTGACTTCAGCCCGGGCTTGTCAGCGGGAGGTTTTTGCTCTTTATTATTATCAGATGCTTTTTGTGAGTTCGCCCGGAGCCAGAGCCTCAGCCAAAGACAAGAGGCGCCCGTCGGGGTGAGATCCCGAGAAAGACCCCAACTTGCCCCAAAAATACCCCTCCGGCTGTTCCCGCCCCTGCAACCCCGTGCGAGTGGAGAGATCTGATTCATCGGGATTAATGGGAGGGTTAAACCCATTAGCCTTCCCCTAGGAAAACACAAATATTTAATATATATATAAATATTTTTTTTAAATTAAAAAACCTCACATTTTATAAAAAATATTTTAAAAAATTTTTATAAAAAATATTTTTAAAAATACTTATTAAAAAAATAAAAAAATTAGTTTTTACTCTTTTCCAGCATCACCACCTTGGCCCTCCGGGTCACATTAGTCCCATGAGCATCCCAACACAGCACCGCAGGAGCAGGTCCCCCATCCCACCACCGTCCCCAGCCTAGGCTGGGGGTGGTCATTGGGTGCACGAAACCAGAGTGAACCCCAAAACTGCCAGCCCCCACCACACGTCGCTGACCTCCGGGCAAGGCTCAGGCATCGTTGGCCACCAAGAAAAAAAAAACCCATGAAAATTATTCGAAAGCAGCATGGGCGCAATGTCCCCACCCTGAAGGGATGGCGGGGCCTCCAGACAGCCCTCCCCGCCCTGATGCTGCCCTCTGGCTCTATTTTAAGAGTATTTCCAAGCCCTGCTGCCAAACTCCCCGTCCCGAAAACGGCCACCGGGGTGGAAGGGCAGGGGGAGGACCGGGAGGATGCTCGGGGGAAGGTGGGACAGAGGGATGCGGGATGGCTGAGGGATGGGAGGGGATGGGAGGAAGAGATAAGGGTGATACGTGAAGGATGGAGATGCTGAAGGTTGCTAGACCAGGTCAACCTGTCCCCAAGAGGCCACCAAAAATCCTGCTGTCGGAGACAGAGCCCCAGCATCCTCCCACGTGCCTCAGTTTCCCACACCAACACCCCATCACCTCCCTTGAAAGGAGGCTGCTGCTGGGTTTAAATCCATCTACTAAGATAAAATGCCATTTATCTTAACAGCTATTAAGAGTCACGTCCCTAAATGCTCCTGTAGCAATAAACCCCCTCCCCGAGGGACCAATAGGTTGGGTCACCCTGGATGTATTTAAATACTCTGATCTGCAGCCCCCCAGAAGACCATCTCTGACATTCACCAGCCTCTTTATTTATTTAGAGCCCCATCTCTCATCCTCATCACCGGAGCACTGAGGACCACGAGTACATCTCTCCTGGCTTAGCACAAGGATGGGGTTTTGGGGGGGCATAAAAAGCACCTTTTAGGTGGCCACAAGCCCCTCCTTCACAGCTGCCCAGAAAACAGTTTCTGTTGAGCACACGATTCGGGGATTTCCTTCAATTTTTTCTACCCCAAAAACTCCCACGAAAAACATTCTGGCAACCACTGGAACGTTTACCATTGACCTTCAGTATTAAATTGCACTAAGTAAAAGTGCTTCAATGAGTGGCTGAATACCACGTTTGCACCTGCTCCTCTAGGAAAAAAAAAAAAACCAAACCCATGTCCTATTCTCAATACGAACACCGCTGCGTTTCAGGGAGAAAGAATTGGGTTGAAACTACTTAATGCCACAACTTGACTTTCGCTGAAGGAAGAAACAGGCTAAAAACCCCTTTTTACAGATGAATTCAAACAATACGCAGCCGCTTCGGGTTTTAATCCTCAATCCCCTACAATTTGCTCTCAAGACCCTCGGATGAGACCCTCAGCCTTTCCTCTGTAGTTTTGAGACCACATAGGGTTGGGTGGGTTTTTTTTAAGGACGATGTGATGCTCGCATCTTCCCACGACTCCCAAAGCTGGGATGAAGCCGCCCCACAACCACCCAGAGCACAGACATCCCCATACATCGCCAAAACCCTCAAAACCACCCATTTTTGGACCCCAGCCACCCACGGAAACCCAACAGCAGGGGTAAAAAGCCATCCCCAACCCACCCTTCTGCCTACCTTCACCTCTCCGCTCGCCCATCGCCCCCCTCCCCGGGGACCTCTCCTGTGGGCGCTTCACCGGGCTGCTCCGGGAGAGGGGGGGGAGAAAAATTTTGTTCCCTTCTCCCGACGGGTGTTTTTATTTAATTAGGAGAGGGTTGTCCGGAAAAACAAGCAGGAAGGGAAAACAATAGCTGGGCCGCAGCCCCGCCTGGCCAGGCGCCGGCCGACAGGGCCCCGAGCGCCCACCGCCCGCATCCTGCCCACTGGGATGCTGGTCCCATCCCTCCTGGGGGTGGCCACGTCCTTTGGGATGGGGGGGTGACACCATCTCAAGTGGTGATTTTTTTTTTTCTCCCCCCCCACCTCTGCCTGCTGCCTTAAAAGGCTCGAGGCTGCCCAAAAACGGAGCCGTACGCGGGCTCCAGGGAGAGGAAGGGAGGAGAAGGGGGCGCAGCGATGCTCCCAGAGACAGTCCCACCCTGGGATGTCTGGTCACCCAAAAAAACCTCCCAGCCTCTGCCCAAGTGAAGAAGAGCATTAGACCAGCTGAGGGACAGTCAGATGCTTCCCAGGCTTACTTTTTTCCCCTCTTCTTGTTTTTTATTTTTTAAATTTTTTTTAAATACAACCAGTATTTACAGGCTTCAGCTCAAAGATGCTTTTCCAGGGAGTAGCCTGGGAAGCCGGGGGCAGCTCCAGGCCCAGCAGGACCATCCCTGGTGCAAGGAACTGGGACAGATCCTTCTCCCCTCCCCTAGCAGCCTCTGGGAGCAGGGAAAAGGTTCATTGGGGCTGTTTGTGCAAAGCACCACGGCCACCCACGGGCTGGGGACAGCAGGGGGACAAGGCGGGATGAACCACACGAAGCTTCATCCCATTGGGAGAGGGCACTGGCTTCCCAGCAGCCCAGCACGCAGAGGGTTAAGGGTTGGGTGCTTTCTTATTTATTTTCTATTTTTTTAAAGTTTTCAAACCCCACTCTGGACACCTTTCTCCTTTTCTTTCAGGAAAAGGCGCAATGATGCTCGGCGAGGACGGAGAGACGGGCCAACCCCCTCGGCATCCCCTCAGCCCAAAAAAAGGATCCAGGGAGGTGATGCTGCAAAGCTGCTCCCAGGGGATGCCACCACGATGGCACCGGGGACACGCTGTCCCCTCTGTTCCACCCAGGGTGATGGTGGAGGGCATCGCTGAGCCCTGAGATCTGCTCAGGAACCTCCACCCTGAGAGGTGTGAAGGTGAGCTCTGTCCCCTGAGCAAACACAGCATCCCCACTGCAAAAATACTGAGGTTTCAGCCTGGTGCCACGTTATCTCCATCCCAGGACAAGGCTCAGTCCCTCTGCTCCAGTGGGAGAGCAGAGCCACCAAAGCTGGGCTGGATGCACCCATCCATCTGTCCCTGTCCCCTCGGTTGGGGCCAAAAGGGCTTTCTTTGGGTGCAGCTCAGGGGCAGACCCGACGGGCAGTGCAGAATCCCTCCGGATAATTCAAGATCTGAATCATAGAATCACAGAATGGTTTGGGTCAGACCCGACGGGTGGTGCAGAATCCCTCCGGATAATTCAAGGTCTGAATCATAGAATGGTTTGGGTTGGAAGGGACCTCAAAGATCATCCAGTCCCACCCCCCTGCCATGGGCAGGGACACCTCCCACCAGACCAGGTTGCTCAAGGCCACATCCAGCCTGGCCTTGAACATCTCCAGGGATGGGGCATCCACAGCTTCTCTGGGCAACCTGTTCCAGTGTCTCACCACCCTCACAGTAAAAAATTGCTTCCCGAGATCTAATCTGAATCTTTTTTCTTCCAATTTAAAACCGTTTCCCCTTGTCCTATCATTACACCTCCTGGCAAAGAGTCCCTCCCCAGCTCTTCTACAGGCACCCTTCAGGTATTGAAAGGCCGCTATAAGGTCTCCCCGGAGCCTTCTCTTCTCCAGGCTGAGTGGTTGCTGCTGGATTTCAGCAGGGCCAGCATCTCTCCTGGCAAACACCGAATGGCAGCCCCAGCCACGGGGTCCCCGCCAGCGCCTGGCACTGAGGGGACATCTCCAGGGCTGATGGAGATGTCCCCGAGCCAAGTGCCCTGCCATGGGAGCAGGCAGCGGGTCGGGATGCTGCCCTCCCATCTTGGGGGGGGGGGATGCAGGACCTCCCGCAGAGTGACTGCTGGGGTGGGAGAGCCTGGGGGACACACAGACACACACACGAAGCCGACTGTCCCCAGCCCTCCCCTGCCCGAGAAAAAACAAGAGGAGGAAAAGATCGAGGGAGGAAACGAGGACAAAACCCAAGGCTGACCTCCCCAGCCGGGCTGGCGGCCAAACGGCTGCGCCAGGGGCCAGCTCCGGACCGCTGCCCAGCGCGGCGCGAGCCGGGGAGGAGACCAGCATCACCCCCCGAGGACCCTCTGGCTGTCACCGGTGCCACCAAGGGACGGTATGGATGCAGTGGGGCCGGTGATCCATTGAGCTCCCCGTGGCTCACAGGATGCCCAGGGACCCCAAATTCAGCCCAGGAGAGCATGGATGGGTGCAACTGGGCAGTCACCGCAGCCTGAAGAACATCGTGTCCCCAGACCAGGCCCACACCCAAGTGCTGGGAAGAGGCTGAGATCCCTGGAAAGCAAGATGGATGGATGGATGGATGGATGGATGGATGGATGGATGGAGCCTCCTCCATGTGCTGCTGAATTAGGCTGGCACAAGGCAGCAGCCTCCCCCTGCCTGGCACAGCAGTGCCCATCCCTGGGGAAGCCACCATCACCTTCCAGGTGGGACAACAAGCAAGATGGGATACGGCACCTCCAAGGTTTGCCCCACACCCGGCTCCCATCAGGTCCTAAAACCACGGTGTTTTCTAACCCAACTCCAAACCACAGAGAGGTCCACGGCTGAGCATCTCCCAGGCAGAGCTTTCCATCCCGGAGCATCCTCTCCAAACCCTGGCACTGACCCCAGGGATGGTCCTCACCTCCCAGCTCCATCTGAAACCCAACCTTGACCACGGGCTCTTTGGGAAGCCTCAGCCATGCTCTTCCAGCCCAGCCATCCTTCTTGCCCAACGCTTTAATATTTTTATGAACGTGCATTAAAATGGCTAATTTTTATCCTGGCTGCCCAGCAATTTCTCGGGGAGCAGGGCTTTAATTCAGACAGGGTATTAGTAGCCCTGGCTCTGGGCAAAAGACATAATCATAAAAATAATTTTTAAAAGACAATTTATTATAATTAAGCCCTCTACCCATCATATCTGCACCGCCGTGGCCAGTTTTTCCCCATATCCAAAGCCATCCCAGGTTTCTCCATCGGGAGAGGCAGCAAGGTTGGCTGAAGAGGGGGACAGCAGCCCTGAAGGACACGGGGACAAGTCCTCAGGTGTCCCCACCTGGGAAACCCAATGGGGCCAAGCCCTGCCCTGCAAATCCTGCTCCAGCAATGCAACGCAACACGTTTCCTTTAGAAAATAAGAGAGGAAAAATGAGGGGCAGGTGGCACTGAGCCTGACCCCGAGCTCGTCCTCCCCACCGGTACCTTCTCCACCAGGGACCACAGATCCCACAGGACATCTAGGATGCAAACCCCACAGGGGGAACCTAGAGATCCCCTTTCTCAGGGCCACACAAAATCAAAACTTGGGCTCTTGCTCTTCCCGGAGAGCACTTTGTCACATCCCAGCCATTGCCACGTCCCCATCTAAAAAAGCTTAAAACACAGCAGCGCCGGAGAGCCCTCGGGTTCCTCCTCCAGCTGGAGCCGGGAGGGGAGGATGATGGGGAAAACCAGCCATTCCCCCGAAACCTTCAAAGAACCTCTGATGGTTTTGACACATTGGGTTCATCGCCATGAGGTTTCTCCCTATTTTTCCCTAAGCAGGAAAAATCCGCATCTTAAAAATAACCAATATTGAATGGGCTGGCAGGCAAACCTCCTGCCTCCCCTCCCTCCTTCGCCAAGAAGACACCTCTCCAAGGCAGCAGCGGGTTATTTTTATGAAGTGGGGGGGTGACACGACTCTCCTCCAGACGCCAGACAGAAACCCAAGGCCGTTTATCTCACCCCACTCCGGGCGTTTGCCTGGTAATAACCCAACGCGCCGTTAATTCCTCGCGGGGAGAACAAAGCTCCGCCGTGAAGCCAAACCTTGGGGGGGGGCGATGGGGGGGGGGTGATGGGGGGGCC